GCCTTTTCTCGTACAGCGTGAGCAACCTGCTCACAGTCGTAGTATTTCTTCTTGGCTTTTGCCAACTCTTTCGCTGACTCCTGCAGCTCTGCTTGAATGCCGCTCAACTGATCAATGGTCTGCAAAATAGAAATAATAAAACAGATAAGCTGTCATTATCAAAAAAAAATAATCAAAATGAGTTAAGTTGACCAAGTGTTTTGTATATGAAATAATAGGAATGCAAAGAGAAATGGTGAACAAAGAACTACAGAAACACATGAGTAATCTGTTTTGTGCACCTTTTTGAGCTGCTGTTCCTTGTAGAGTCTAATGGTCTTCGCTGGCTCTGATACTTGGCTCTTGTAGTTGTCACATACATTAAGCCTCGACTGGCTCACCTGAACTGTACCCTCTAAGTAGGCCCTCCACACTGCGTACACATTCCTAAATGGAGTTAACCAAAAAGAATATGATGCTGACACATTTTTTAATTATCCTTTCTGTGTAAACAACACAGGAATGAAAAGGTGTGTGCAAGCACTGAAAAGGGTGAATGATCAGAGTTTTATAAAGTATTTGCTGAACATTACTTTTATTTGTCATACTTAATAAGAAATAACAATAAAATGTATTCATTCAACCTTTGATTATACAGGTTAGTCTCACTGAGCCCTGTTAAGATGACTTGTGGCAACCCCTGAAGAGGGAAAAGCCGAAAGAAGAAGAAGAAGTGAGTAAATCAAAGGAAAACAGAAGGGGGCCAAGTATAGATCCCTGAGGTACCGATATATGTGTGTTTCAGCTGCTGTGACTTTTTACTTTGTTGGAGTCCATGAACATTTTTTCTCCTAAATTTTGGAGCAAATGCATAAAAATTGAGATTTTCTCTAAAATAAAAAGATGACCATACAATCAGTTACAAACACAAAAGACCAAAGTCTAAATTTAGATTTTTCAAACTATATTAATAAATTTGTTTTATAGGCACCAGCATACACACAGACCTACCTGTAGTCTGTTCTCTGGTCATCAGGGCTGATTCCAGGCCAGTCTTTCTTTAGGTACTGACTTGCTAATTTTTGCAGAGCCTGAAAATACAAAAGCAGAAACCAGGAATCTTAATTAAAAATGGTAAAACTTGTTTTCTCATCAGTGAACACCTGTCAAATTCTTGGACACAGCTATTTTTTTTTTAACAAACATTCCTGTTGGAACAATACGAGTGCACGTACAGTATATATTGAATTGAACTATTGATCGTGGTCAATATTTAGCTTGTTGACAGTCATTGGTCTATCAGCAAATAGGAGACGATCAGATCAAGGCTTTTCTATATCTGAAGTGCCCTCCAGAAAGAGGTGATTATTAAGTTTATATTTAAGTTACGCGTCACAACCCCCCCCCCCCCCGCCCCCACACACAAAGATAATACAATTGTTAAATCATCTAATCAATGAAACATCATTGATTTAGTCTGCTCAAACAAGTTATTTTTGTTACAAATATTATTTTATTTTATTTTTTGGGGTTAAATCTGTGCTCACATAAAGATACGGAGTGCTACACTGAGAGGACTACACTGGTATACAACAGTTCAGTTTTATGTAAATATGAATGGTTTCAATCAAGAAAATTAGCTTCTGTTTATCCTACTTATTTCTGTGTTCCTACACTGTTCGGGAATGGCTAAAAGAGCCAAGTTTTGAGGTATCCAACCAACACCCCAGCTCTCAGTCTATTCCAGGATTTGTTGCTACCCAAACAGGGCAGCCCATAGGCTGAGACTGAGACCATCTACTGACGCCACAGGACTCCCCAACAGTTTCTTTTGTCAACATAAGGACACCGATATGATCCCAGGCAGGTGGTTTGAATTTTCTGGCAGGCATGAAAAGCAGATATGTCAAAGTTTACTATAAAAGGTAAAAATATGAGGAAGTACATAGGAGGTGGAGCCATTCATACAGACCGACATTATCAATTTGAGATTATCTGCTGTGAATTACTTTGTTTTTATTTTTTCAAATAGGTAAACAAAATGGGCAGCACGGTGGCGCAACTGGTAGAGCTGCTGCCTCTCAGAGAGCAGGTCCCCAGTTCAAATGCCGGTCCGGGGGCCTTTCTGGGTGGAGTTTGCATGTTCTCTTTGTGCATGTGTGGGTTTTCTCCGGGTGCTCCAGTTTCCTCCCACAGACCAAAAACATGCATGTTAGACTGATTGGTAACTCTAAATTGTTCCTAGGTGTGAGTGAGAGAGTGAATGGTTGTTTGTCTCTATGTGGCCCTGTGATGGACTCAAGACCCGTCCAGGGTGTACCCCGCCCCTCGCAGTGACTGCTGGATATGGGCTTCAGCGACCCCCGTGACCCAAAATGGAAGAAGCGAGTAAAAAATGATGGATGGATGGATGGATGGATGGATGGATGGAGGGACGGACAGACGGACGGACGGACGGACGGACGGACGGATGGATGGATGGATGGAGCAAAATACTTTGCCCCTAGTGGAACAGCTCTGTGTCAGCAAAGGTGAATCCCCAGTCAGTTCCTGAATGAGTGAGCAGAAATGTGATGAGAGGAAGAGAAGGTAACCTACATCTTGCAGACTGGGTCACTGTGTCAGCAGCAACAACTCAGACTTGTGTCCCTGTGTATGTGTGTGTACGGGTGCAAAGTGGAGAACAGTCCTCATTAAATAAGAAGCTCTGGGACGACAACCCAATCAAAGCAAACCAAGCTAAGGGAAGAAGTGATACCCTAAGCAACACTCATCCTTCCAGCTTGTCTGATTTGCATGGAAATCTGGTCTGAGTTTTCATTTACAAACGTCCTCCCCAATCGTTCATCCTCTCAGTGATTCTGATGAACTGTGAAGGTTTTAAGAACAAAGCGTTTAGCCAAACCTAATTTGTTTCAGCTCCAGTCAGAGGAGTCTAGCAGCAGAAAGAAGATAAAACATGGCGTAAACTGACTGGAAACACAAGCACACACACAGCTTATTGCACAGAAACTGCACTGTCCAGTGCATGAGCAAACATGTTTGTTTCGAGAATAGTCACCCTTTCTCCCACTCTGACCCTCGAGGGAAGGGTGGAGTGGGTGTGGATGGTAGTGAAGTCTCAGAGTGAGTTTAAAAAACTGGCAGAACTAAATCTGTAATAAATATCTCCTGGCACTGAATGGCCTTCGTGATGTATGAAGCATTTATTTGAGTGTAAAAAACATGTACGATAAAACCAGTGCTGTGCACAATTAAATAAGTAGTGGTGTTTGAACTTTGAACTGTGGAATATGAACTGAAAGTAGCTCACTTTGGTGATGAACAACTTTCTTTAAGAATAAACAAATGCTGTTGTTCTTTAGCTCTACGTGCAGAGGATGATCACCAATATTTGCCCTTGAGGATAAAATGCTTTCAGCTGTGTGTGTGTGTGTGTGTGGGGGGGGGGGGGGGTGCAGCATGATCAGGCTGTTACTGAAACCTCTGTAGAAATACTCCTGTCTTTGTCTGGACAAGTTATTGATCATGCCTTTTCCTTCTCGTCTTAAACATCATGACATTAACTGAATTAAAAGTGAAAGCTTGTGCCGAGTTGTGCCTTCACGTCAGATTCATCACAAATGTAAATGCAGCTGATTCTATACTTTGTGAATTTATTTTACGAGTGGAAGTTTTGTCGCATGTTTTTGTTTTTGTTCCGACTGCTCCCTTCTTCAGTGGTCTCCACAGCGAGCAAACCCACCTGTGTTCATTCGTACACATCTGCTCACCAAAGACTCATGTTCGGGCTGCTGTTGATACGCCGTACTGTTGTACATTATTCAAGGTCAAGGTCTTATTTATTGTCATTCGCATCTCATGTGGTACATGTGGTGGAACAAAACTGTGTACACACGGTCCCAGTTCTATCGTTACTACAGGTATTATTAGTGTTTAGTGTATATCTTAGATCCTTAATTTTGTTAATTCTGTTTCTTTTTATACTTTATATTTTGTTATTTTGGGGTGTAACTGGGACCCTGTGTACATAATTTTGTTCCACCTCATGTACCACATGTGATATGAATAACAATAAACTTGACTTGAACTTTGAAGACTTGTCAATTGTTTCATCTTGACGTCCTTCCTGACCCAACCACAGACCACCGAGCTGCAGCAGCCCACATGTGGAGCAGGGCGCCGTCATCTAGCGTGCCCAGGAGAACAGATGGGAGGGGTTTAGGGACTTGCTCAAGGGTCCACAGTGGGGCAAATGAGGGTGGAGGCGGATGTGGATGCTTCACCTTTCCCACCCATATTTTTGTTGCAACAGTCCGGGGAGTCAAACCTGTCGACTGCCGATCACAGGGTTTAAATGCACTCAATAATTTATTAATAAGCAGAGAAGATTAAATACAGTAATTAAAAACAAAATTTAAAAGGGACACAATTTGGCCAAAATGTTAAACTTTTTAAATGTTTTGACAGCAAAAACAAAAAATATGCAAATAAGACCAGTGTTTTTGGGGGGTGGAGGTGTAATATTATTTACAGTATTATGTTAACGGGGGAATAGAAAAAAGCTGCGAGAGAGCTGAAGGCAAATATTTATGATGAAAAAAACGTTTTAAGATTTTATTTCATGAATATGTGATAAACTAGACCATTTTGGGACTTTGATTTTGGCTCGGACATTTGAAATGAAGTACAGGTAGCACTTGTAAAGTGTGAACTTACAAAACACCAAACACAACTCGGAGGGAAGCTGAGATTTGTAGAAGTTCCTATAAATGCTGGTCGTAGAAGCCTGGTTCTGTTTTAAACAGGAGAACCTCTTCCAGGAAACCAAAACGTTTATTTAAAGTCAATTTCCATCCTTTTACCTCAGTGTGAGGTTAAAAAAAACACTAGATGATGACTAATTCATCTTTTCAGATGTAGCAGCAGTTTTGGGGTCACATTAGCCACATGCCACCCTTCAATATTTCTCTTTAACTGGACTGATGAGTAGAAAGTAGCACTTTTTTAATTTTTTTATTATTATTATTATTTAAGAAATCTTCTTGATCTTGATTTTGGCTGCCATCCTAGGAGTGTAAGGTAAAAATGTGTTCTGTTATAAAATAGTGGTCTCTAAATTTGTATTGTCAGAACCCAATTAGGAGTTGTAAAACAGTAAGTTAAGGGTCCTGAGATGATTTCCAGAATGGAAATAAAACCTAAACATTCTTGCTCAAAGCATAGTTTTAGTAAAAATTGTAATAAAATGTAAATTGGGCTGCGTGTGATGTCATTATATTCTTGTTTAATTGACTGATGAGCAGCGTTTGTATATTTTAACCAGTGATAGTTTGCGTTACAATTCTCTGCCACCACTGTTTTAAACAACACTGTATCATTTTGAACACATGGAAGTCGAGAAAGTTTCAGCCTTTAAATCTATCTGTGGAAATATCCTCACAAGTCTTAACAGATGATAAAAGCAAAGGCTTTGGCCCCGATTACTGATTACTGACAGCTGCACAGTTCCATAACTCAGGAGAACATCTGGAGCTCGTTCATCCCCTCACACCTGCCTCACTTTGTGTCTTTTATTTCTACATTTCCTCAATATTTTTCCTTCCAAACAGCCATTGTTCACTGCTTCTTTCCTCACCCTTCTTTCCATTGTTTTCTTCCTTACAAACCATCTTACTCCCGCATCCTTCTTTTGCTGTCATCACCCCACAGCCACTTGAATGGCGTGTTGCTATAGCAACTGCTCTGCCCTTCTGATGTGGTCTGGCTGAGGTGAAACGTCTCAGTGTAATAAGCTCACACACTTCTGCACAATCACACACACATCCTGTTTGTGTGGTCATGACGACAAACAGCAGGATTTCCTGAGGTGACCAGTGAGAATGAATATTCTACTTCAGAGATGTCGGTCTGTGAGTTGGGTGTGAAATTATTTTCTGCGTTCTTCAAACACAGATTCATTTATGCATTTGCAATTGCATTACTTCCTGTTTAAAATTCTGCATACGTGCAAGAAAGGCTAGCAATCACTGGATAAAATATGAT